ATTTTATAAAGAAGTTTGCTGACTGGTTGGACCAAGAAATAAAATGGCCAGAGTTTGTTTACTAGACATAACTGAAGAACAATCAAATATTATGACGAGTTTTGAAGATCCTTCAACAAGTATTTCAACAGTAACAAGACCTAGTTTATCAACGGAATGCACTGTTCCTCATAGTGTGGCTGTGTCGACATCAACCGCTACATTTAGTCCTCGAAAAGAATTTGCCAATTTGAGTCCACTGCAAAAAAGAAGAAGAGCTGAAAATCTCATTGCCGAAAACGATTTTGAGACACTTGCTTATGCCCTGGCTAGGAAAGCGGAAAATGAAAACCAAACGGACTTTGTAGAATTAGTGAAGCATTTGATTAAAAAGCCTGAAGATGCGCCAATGCTGCGAGCCTGCCTGAAATCGACGAAACGAACTTGTCATACCGATAAGGCACTCGGTATTTCAACATCACTGAAATTATCGAAATGGCAGTATATTACATTGAGGCAGACAATGAGAGACATGGGGTGTGATATACTTCCATCGTATGATGCTTTGAAGCAAGAGAAGAAGGAGTGCTACGTTGAAAAAGAAGACATGGTAATAACTGAGACTGAAGTTAAACTTAAACTTCAGTCTATTTTAGATATTACGGTCAAGAGACTATTAAAAACTCTGGAAACTGATTTAACTGGCAGTAATTCGACTCTTATCAGTAAATGGGGGTTTGACGGTGCATCTGGGCAAAGCAACTACCAACAAAAAAATGACGGCGATGATTCAAGCATCTTCATGTGTTCATTTGTGCCGTTAAAACTGGTGAGAGATGGTACTGATGAAATAATATGGGAAAACCCCAAAGCGTCTTCAACGTTTTACTGTCGACCCATTTATTTTAAGTTTGCTAAAGAGAACGATTTGAATGTTAAAGAAGAAATGACTTCAATTGATACGGAAATTGCTGCTCTACATCCAACTGTTATCGATGGTGCAAATGTAAAACACGTTCTGCATATGACGATGATTGATGGTAAAATAACTTCACATTTATCAGATACATCCACAGCTACATGCGATATATGCAAAGCAAAACCAAAAGAAATGAATGATATCGACAAGGTTACTCAGAGAACCCAGTCTGTAGACATGTTTAAGTTCGGTCTGTCTTCCCTCCATGCACGAATTAGATGCATGGAATGTATCTTACATATTGCTTACCGTCTCGACTTCAAGAAATGGCAAGCTAAGGGCGAAGATTTGAAGCAACAGTTAAGCCAAAGAAAAAAGGCTATTCAAGAACAATTCCGGACTGAAACGGGGCTACTTGTGGACGTTGTTAAACAAGGGGCTGGTACAAGCAACGATGGAAACACAGCAAGAAGATTTTTTGTTAATCCTCAAATTACTGCTCAAATAACGGGTGTTGATGAAGAACTCGTTAGAAGATTTAGAGTGATTCTTCAGGCTATCTCATGTGGAGAGTTTGTGGACGTGGAAAAATTCCGCCAATATTGTGCTGCTACAGCACGCAAATATGTCGAGCTCTATGAATGGTATTATATGCCCTCAAGCGTGCATAAATTACTCATTCATGGTGCCGATATAATAGAGCACAATAACTTTATACCAATCGGCAAGCTCTCTGAAGAGGCCTCTGAAGCTCGTAACAAAGATTTTAAAAACTTCAGAACCTTCCACTCGCGTAAATCTAGCAGGATTGCAACAAATGAAGATATTATCAATAATTTGTTAATATCGTCTGACCCATACCTATCAAGTTTCAGGCCTAAAATATGTCAACGAAATAAACCTCTCACAAATGAAGCTAAATCATTATTATTAACTTCTTGTGAAGATAAGGAAAATATAGAGTTTGTAGATGTAGGTAATGTATCTGATTATGACTTTGATTAGTATGTGTTCTTTCCCTCAAATCAAATTATATCAAACTTTGTATTTTTATTTTTTTGTATCTTTGTATCATATTAATATAAACAGTTTACATATTTAAGAACTGTTGTAGCCAATTTGAGTTCTACTAATCTTTTATACTTTAGCTTGTATGTGTGTAGTAATTTATACAGTTGTGGCTTCCTTATTATGCATTATTTAATTTATGATATCAAGCTTAGTTAGTAATTTAAGTTTTGTAAATAAAAATATTGATGTTAATAATTTTGTTTTATTCATAATGTAAATAGTTTATTTTCTCGTTTGGCAGTAACATATCAGAATCTCCCTTACTACATTTACTAATATTAATAACCAGCTAGTTTATCTGGAAAAACACTTTGTTCATTTTAAGCTTAGTCAGTTAAAGTTCTAGGTATCCCAAAATAAACATATTTGATCAAACCCTTTCTTAGATAGACATTGTAAGTGTAAGTATGTTTGTTTGACAAAATTAATTATTATAGGCAAACAACGGCAGGTAATGACTGTGGGTAACCCTTTGAATTCCTCAAAACCTGCAACAATAGAGTTTGTATTGTTTATATGTAATGATGCTCTCGTTAATGGCGCGCGGCTTTTAAGCGATTGTCAAACAAAAGATTAAAGTGTATTAATTTACAGCCGTAAAGGACTTCATTGTAATTCTTTACAATATTGTATTCTTGTTTTCTTTTTCTTAAAACTATTTCTTTTATCTATTTATATTAATTCCATATCTTTTGAATTAGGACGCTTTTATTTAAAGTTAAGTTGTATGGTGGCGTTATCTACTGTGTAGTTTTATTAGATAATAATCTGTGTTATATTAATAACTAAATGCTGGGCAAGAAACATAAACAAACTGTTTATTGAGACACATAACCCCGTAAAGCAAAATTACCCTAATAAGCATTTTGAAAAATTCGTATCTTTTGAACGGGGCCGTCCGGGGTGAAGGTCAAAGGTCACATGGCTTCGTAACAGACCCGGTAATAATCCCTATAAGTTTCAGCTTGACCGTAGAAGACCGATACAAGTTATGAGCAAAACAAATTCCGTTTTCATACATTTGAATGCTTTATGGTGTTAGATTAAATGTGCTTTATGGTGTTAGATTAAAAGGAAATTCCCCAAACTATTTTATTATTCAATGTACTGATATGTCCAATAAAACCGCATACCTTAAACGGATAATAAACATTTTATTTTTTCAAAAATTCTATGAAAGGGGACCTCTTTTTTTCACCCACTGTGCTACGTCACGTTTGGTTGTAAACATTACCAGCTCTGTTTTAGTTGGATTAACTGCAAGGTCGTATTTCCCGCATCAGCATTCAACCAGTTTTAAAGCACCTTGCATGGTGTTACAGGTAATGCTGACGTGGGTGCCTACTAGGCACTGCCTAGGGTAAGTATGGTAATATCATCTGCATACCCTATGGTATGCAGTGGTTCGAGCTTGGTCGTCAACTATGAGGTTCCACAGAAGTGGCGACATCTACGTGCCACCAGTGCACCTCTGCTGTCCTCACCTGCTACCCGAACTATTCTATTGCGAAGCATGTTGACTGTCCAGTCAATGATTTTTTTTTGCGTAGCGGTGTTTGTCGGTTTTTCGTAGATACCTTAGGGGTGTAGGAGATACGAGTTCCTACCTGTAGTGTGAAGCGGATCGGAGTATGATGCTTCATCGGAGACATGCCAGCCAGGTCTTGCACCGTCTGCCTACGAAAGTAGGTTCGTTGCCTATGTTGATTAACTCTCGGTTAACTAGTTTATTATTAGTCAGGAGGAATTCAAATAATTATTAGTCAGGAGGAATTCAAATAGTTACCTCTGTTGTTGCTTTGTTCCATTCTCCATACAAAATGATGGGCATTGGAGTCTGTCGCTATGATCAGTTCTACATTTTCCTGAGCGCAGAAGCGGACCAGAGAAGCAACGTTTTCTGGTGGGGCCCGCTCGCCGTCAGGCTTATACGCAGATGCTATGACCAGGTCACAACTGTTATTATCTTGGTTAGGGGTCAGTTTTACAGCACAGAGATCTCTAGAATAGAAATTCATCAAAGGCTGTGTTCTAATGTTTCTGGAAATGTATATGCAGGTCCTTACGTCGCTAATAGTGGCTTGAACGAGCTAACCTCCTAAACTGGAGAGTCCTCGCACCGCGCCACTCCTTAACCACGGCTCCTGGATTAGTGCGACTGCTGTGTTATTGGTCTCCAACCGCCGCCGAAGCTGAGCGTAGCGGTTACGCTGTGGTGGAAATTTATTTGCAATATGTTTACACTACTGCAGAGAGACGCCATCATCCTGGCTCTAGCAGTTTATGAGTGTCCTCAATCTGAGGTGTAGTGGAGCTTTTTTTAAGCAAGCACTCCGATTTCTCGGTATGCGAGCGAGCAGCTGTACCCTCTGGTTTCCCATCGGGTGTTGGCAGAACGTTGAACTCGTGTGTGTCCATTGTTCGTGGTGTAAAACTTCATCCAGTCAGCTTTTCACCCTCCTTGGAGCCCGCACATTTGGGAGTGCCCATAATGGTGCACTAGGTCTACCGACGATATAGGAGCAGAGAGTTGGTGTCAGGTGCGACATCGGAGACTCGAAGTGTGTGGCTGGTTACCGGTTCAGAGTACCCTAGTTGTTTCTCATCACTCTTGCCTCGTCAGTATGACCTTAACCATCCAGATCGGCAAACCGCCCTGGACCCCCCTACTCCTCGCTGCGGCCCTCTGACCGGACGCGTGACCTTTTCCCCTCTGGCGCTACCCAAAATGGCTGCCGTTTCGGTTGAAATCCGGACTGAAGAGAGTGTGTTGTATCGCGAAGCTATTATCGCCGACCTCGCTTCACTCAACCCTCCAGGACTCCTTCATCCCCCCTTACGGCGCTCAGCTGCGCAGGAGAGGCTGATACCTAGTCTAGGCTAGTCTACCGGGACGCCTCCCATTTCCCGGTAGAGCCGAAGGCCTTTGTTAGGATGGAGGGGTTTAACGATTAATTGGAGTTGGAAAGAAGGGAATACGGTTCACAGGTCTCTCCACAGACAGTGTCACCTATGATGACGGAGTACATCAATGGGAAGCAGCATTAAATTCAGCTACGAGGATCCCAGGATAGATGTTAGTTTACGTTGCCTGTTAACAAATCCAAGTATTACCGGGGTAAACAACGTGGACCTAACCTACCTAACAACGTATTCTTGGGCACACATCAGCCGCCCCTACTCCATAAAAGCTGTGTTATATGGGATTAACTCCCGCTGAGCTGAGATTGGCCTTGTTAATATTAAAAATATATACGATTTAATTTCACTATAATTAACCTTTATTACTATGTCATAGGGGTGGTGCATATTAAAATCAACAACATGGATACCGTAATTAATTTGACAAGAACAGTGCGTCATTGCTAAAATATTTAGTTCTTCAACCAAAAAGCTGTAGAACACGGTAATTGCAGTAGCATTGGCAACACGGGTCTGTCTGACCTGGTTGGATTAATCATTGCCCATGATCAAATAAAATGGTCCCAGAATTGATTTGACATTTGTCTGACACTGACAATAGAATAAATCGAAGTGGAAATCGAGTGGAAAAGCAACATTGGTTAAATGCCACTTTAGTGCTGCTTAAAAATTAACTTTAAATAAAACCTAAAAAAGTATTGATTTTTAAGCAGCACCAAAGTGGTGGTTAAGTGATTTTGCTTTTAGAGGAAAAGCAAAATTTCTTAACCAAGACCGTCGATATAATATTACAAAATACATGTGTTAACTTCAAATCCTCAAGTTTCTGACATTAAAGTTTTAGTGTCGTAATTAAGTGCCATCCTTTTTTTAACTGTTGTTACATAGATATTTTATATTTTCTTTCAATATGATTTTAGATTACTATCACACCATTCAATATGAAAGAGGAACTTGAAGAGGGTCATTTTGATACTCAAGGGCATTATCATTGGAAAAAAGAAAAAGAAATCAGGGATGGATGGCTTGATAACATTGACTGGGTAAAGATAAAAGGCAGACCTGAAGATAAGTACAAAGTTCATAAAGATGTCGGTGATAAAGGTCTAGGTGATGATTCCAGCAGTGAAGATGATGAGCCTGAGGAAAAGTTTGATTTGATGAAAAATTACAAAGAAATATTGCAGCACATGAAACCTAAAGAGACTATTGCAAAAACTCTGCAAAGGCTAGGTAAGTACGAATGTAATGAATGAAAAACCCTAACTAACACTTACAACACCAACTGTGGCATCAGGAGGTCTATGGGCACGAGCACGCGAAACATTGTGGCGGCGGCACGGCGCATATGAATATCTGTTGTTTGTCACACAATGTAGATGTACGGCGGTTCCGGACCGGACTTGTAACCAGAGAGACGAGGCGGGGAGGGGTAAATGCGTTGCGCCGTGTGCCGGAGCGGCACTGCTCAATAGGCTAGTTGACCCTTTTTGGAAAAAGGTTTTAAATGGTTAATAAATGTTCTATTAAACCGAAAAAAATGTATTGTATTTTTTTGAGACCTAGAAAGCTACAAATCTTTAATTTTAAAATAGACTTTTCATGGACATACAAAAACGCTGCCGGCCATTTTAGTCTATAGATTATCTATGCTATGACGTTGACAGTAGTAAACAAAAACTCGTAAGCACGTAGAAAATAACCCATCTGAGTTTCTATTAAAAAGAAAACATGATTTCTAATAGATACCACGAAAAATATAGTAATTATTATTATTGTATTGTACGAGTATGTAAAAAAAATCTTTGAAGACTCCAGGAAAGTTGTGCCGAAAGAAATTAACCTACGCAATATCTGGTTAGAACTTGCTAAAAGGGATCCTGCAACTTTAACGCCTCATAGTAAAATTTATTTTTGCGAAAATCACTTTGATGTAAATACTCATTGAATAATATTTTAAGTCTCTTCATTTATTATCAGTTTTAATAATACAAGTTTTAAAGTTATGTATGAATGACATTTAGTTGTTTACTAAAACAGACGTCACAATCATGGCGGATGTGGCGAACAGCGTTTTTAGTGTTTAAAAAGTATAGACTAAAAATTGTTTTTTTAAATTAAATTTCTACAGCAATCTTCTGCTTTTATGAAGTGAAATCGATATATTTAGGTTCCTTAGACAAAATACTTTAAGAAATAAACATTTATTTAATACAATTCGACATGAGTCAACTAGCCTATTGTTTATGTGTTATATAGAGAATGTATGTTGCTGGAGCGCCGGTGGCGCCGCTGCGACGAGACATTGTTGTGGCTCTCGTGTGCCCACTAATATGTCTCTTAATCATTGCGGTTCGGCGCCGCAACGCATCATCTGCTCGTGCACTAAGATAGCGAGATTACATGTTTCTAATATTATTCATAATCAGAGAAGGGGAAAATTTATTGAAATAAAGAATGAATATTTTTTTCCTTTTTTATTCATGAAACATACTAATATATAAATGTGAAAGTTTGTATGTGTGTTACTCAATCACGCAAAAATGGCTGGACATATTCAACGAAATTGGAACACATATAGTTGATTGAGACATAGGATCCTTTTATCCCGGAACAATTTAAGTCTCCCGTGGGATTCTTAAAAAACAAAACATTTGTAGAAAAAATATTTGAATGACGAATAAATTAATTAAAAAAAACCACGAATACAAGGTTATTTGTTTGTTACTAGTGACTGTCCGCGACTTCGTCCTCGTTAACTTTAGATTTTTGAGAATCCCTCAGGAACCCAACATTTTTAAGGATGGATTACGTTATCGCACTGAAAAGACAGTTACTTGCTGATTTATTACATAATTTTCAACGAATGGGTGTCATTATGTCTCTGAAAATTGATTTCCTTCATTCGCACCTTGATTTCTTCCTTGAAAACCTCGGAGAAGTCAGCAACGAACATGGAGTGCGTTTTCATCAGGATTGGATTTTTTTTAAACAAAACTATCAAGGGTACTGCGACCAAGCCATGTTAGGTGATTATTGCTGGTGATATTTGCAGTTATAAGATACGCAGACTCAAATAAATACAAGAATAAATCTAAGGCATTTTTTTTTAATATTTTTGCAAGCATTTTCTTTGTAAATAAAAAAAAAAATTTGGAAATGTGACGTGTAAGATTTTTTTCAAAATTCGGTGCATCTCAAATGATAAGAAAAAACACTTTTCATTGCAAGGATAAAAACCGTGTAAACTAGTGTTATTTTTGTTCGCTTGTTACTCTCGTTCGCCGAAACGGCTAATATTATGTAATGGCTAATTTATGGCAGTAACGAATACGTCTATGACAAAGTACGTTTTGTTGTTACAATAACATTTAAATTTAAGTTATTTATTTTAGCTTTATTGAACATGAACAAATGGCGGACTTAACGCTAAAAGCATTCTCTGGCAGTCAACATTTAGGCATAAAGAAAACCACGAATGCGGCTAAAATAAGAAAATAAAAAAGTGATAACTATAAACATACACCAATAAACCTAACTACATAAATATTTATTTTAAAAAAAAACTTAAAGTCACCTACATTCTTAATTCCGAAAAACGTAACTCAACACGCAATTTTAAAAAGAAAATCGTATTCTAAGAATACAGTAGATTCATACAGAGAAACAGAAGAACAGGAGACATTTCAGAAAAACAGGAGATCTCCCTTAAAATCGGGAGACATGGCAACCCTGGTTGCGTCTGTCGAAAATGAACACAGACTGAATGGCCTACAGACGTCGTCAGAGGTGTGGTCGGCTCGTAGTGAACATCTGCTGATGCATCTGTCGACGTGTAGAGGAGGCATTAGGCACGCGCTGCAGGCTTCCCGGTCGGTACCACCGCAACCGCTATCTCCCTGCATTTAAATTAGTATTATTGCTATAAATATTCATTTTTAAATTACATGCTGTGTAAAGCCATATTTATATGTATACTAGCGGCCGCCCGCGACCGCGTGGAGTTAGGTGCAAAGGGTTTATTTCTCATAAAAACATACAGTTTACCTATAATGAAATTTACAATTTTCACATTCTAATATAACTTTATGACCGCTTCTGCAGTATCGGTTTAGTATACAAACAATTACATTATTGTGCTTATTGTACAGCTTTGTCATGGTAATATTATCTATACAGTATTGTGACTCGGCCCTATCCTTGAAATAACTGCCTACGGCCGAGCGGGGCGTATCCACGCGGTAAGGCTGACTGCGTACAGTATTTTAATTTCATCTACATATTGCGTTACTTTATAATATTTTATTTCATATGTAAAAAAAAATGCTGTGAATGATGGAAGTGTTACATAAAATACAATGTTATTTTAAATGTATTATTCAATAAAAAAAAATGGGTGCGTGTACTTATGTAGGCGCGTGAGAAGTTATCCTTCTTTGGCATCGTTTAAAATTAGTTTTTAATTGCATTCAAATAATTAATTAGAATAAATTAATAAAAAGTCTGGAAAAGGACACAGTCAATAAAGTTCAGTTTTAATTTGAAAAAATAAATAAATAATCAAAATATTCAATTAAAATCGCTACTGAATATAATTTATTAGAACATATGTGATTTGCACTTGTATGAAACTCAATCACGTATTCCGAATATACAAACTAGAAACATGTGGATAAATATTATAAATATGAATACCTATAACTGTTACTTTATTACAAAAAATAAAGATGTGGTTTTTGGTTCTACTACACCAATGGTCAAGAGATGGCGCTGTAGTCTCCTGAATCGCGCTTTGGTTCCGTTGTTCCAGATTAATAAATACTTTTGATATTATAAATATGAATACCTATAACTGTTACTTTATTACAAAAAATAAAGATGTGGTTTTTGTTTCTACTACACCAATGGTCAAGAGATGGCGCTGTAGTCTCCTGAATCGCGCTTTGGTTCCGTTGTTCCAAATTAATAAATACTTTTGATAGGCCTTCACAATGCAGTCGTTAGCACTCACTAAATAGAGATTCTATTTCTATTTTGTTGGTAGATTTTCTTAATGTGCGGTAAACACAAAAGTAACTATTACTAACTACAAAGTTAATATTCTGTGTTACAGTGATGCGCGCGCATCTTAAAATTTCACTCTCATCATTTTTTCATAACGCGCCTAAAGAAGTATAACTTCAAAAATATATAGATTTTTGATAGAAAAATATTTACGCCTCGACTGAGACGTACGGAAAGCTTTATTGTTAAATTTAATAGTATTGTCACAAACGCTCTCGAAACGGAACCGCGAAAGTGCTAGAGATCGAATGTGCCAGAGCACCGCAGATCGCGATAGAGGTCTAGTAATGCGGCTCATTCTAAAATGAGCCTTATGCAGTGCGGCGTAAAGGAGAAAGTGCAACGACATCTGCACTTGTTTAGAAGTTATGCGCGTTACCTGCGTAGGTATAAGTAGGTATTTCGTACTCGCGGGTGCTAGCTAATTCTCAATTTAACAGGTACTTTCTAGAATGCGTCGATCGGCGTATATAAGCGCGATAGACGCCGCGCAGAGACAGTTCAGTTTCAACAGCGATTTCGGAGCGAAGCCAAAGGCGATCAAAGTGCAACAAAAGTGTTCAAGTGCGATAGTTTAAAGACTTGTATAGTGAAATACAGTGTTTAGTGAGTGTTTTCTAAATAACATTGTGTGTTAATTGTGTGAACTGTGTGGCGAATAAAGAACTGTCAAGCGTGAACTGGCATATAATTTCGAACCCCACCCCGACACGTAACAGTATAATACACACATCAAAAGTGTCTAGGGATCAAGCATTTTTATGCGGATTTCTTGAGATTGAGATGTGGCTTTGTAATAAATTTATGATTTTATAAATTTATATGGATCCTTTTTGGTGCATTTCATAATTTGAATCAGGAACTGTGAATCAAATTCGAGTAAAAGATGAAAATCAGCTGTCAATATTTTCCCTATAAAAACATACAACGCATTGAAGACATTATTAGTGCTACTGTTTCCCTACTACTGATTAAAACCAACGTTATTATGGAGCGGCGACGTCATTTAAGCAGGGAAGAAATGCTCAGAGCCGTGGGAATGATAGAAGCTGGTTCCCGGCAACGTACTGTGGCTTTAGCTCTGAATACAAGTCAGAGTGTTATCAGTCGACTTTGGACACGATACCGAAGCACTGGTACCGTGGCTGAGCGCCATGGAGGACGGTATC